TTTGGAATATACTATTGTAAACATCATATATAATATATAGACCATTACATAATATTCAAAGTATTTTTGCAATTCTCAAAATTATTTTTACAATCATCTTTATTACTACTGTACTAAACAGATTCACCCTTAGTTTCTGTTTGTTTGAACCATTTTGTTATGGTGTCTGCGATTCGTAAGCTACTTTTGCCGCCTAGCTAAAAGACTTAGACACTTAAATGAAGTTGTTAATTGATTGATTGATTGATTAATTGATATCAACTTAAGCTCATGGTCACTATCAATTAAATCAATAAAAAAAATGAATCGTGATAACATTCCATTGAATGCATTGATAGTGGATACGAAGCGCGAGTAAACGCTCTCGGAGCGTCTACTTTCAACAAGTAAGTTGTCTTTAAAACATATTAAAGTTCACAAAGCAACCAGGTGGACAATCAGACATGGTGTGATGCTACTCTGGTTTAAAGATTTAATGAATGTAACCGAGAAGTTACAATTCATTGACCCAACGTTTCGACACTCCTGTCCAGTGTCTTCATCAGGGGTGATGAAGGCACTAGACAGGAGTGTCGAAACGTCGGGTCTATGAATTATAACTTCTCGGTTACATTCATTAAATCTTAAAACCAGAGTAGCATCAAACCATGTCTGAGTGGTCTTTGTTGGTCTAGGAAAAAGCAATATGACAAGTGAAATGCAATTTATTCCAGATAAAAAAAACGTTGGATGCGATATAATTTTCAATAAAATACATCCGAAAAGGTTGAAATCTTCCAGTATTAGCTTGGCTCAGGATACTCCTTTTTATGTGACGCGTGATTAGTTTAAAAAGTTATCCGTGATGCGTGAGTTAAAATAAACATTCAGCGGGATGTGTGATTGGAACCCCCTTTTTAACTCGTAAATTGCGCGCATGCGCAAGAGCGAGTTATAGATACGATGTGGGGAATGGAATTCGCTCGCTCGCTCGATTGGTCGATTCCTGTAAACTTTTTTTAGATTTTAGGCTTTTGAGTGCATTTTATAGTTTTTGGCGAGCAATAAACAGACTAAATGGCGACCTTTGTTGCTAAGAATAGTGGTGGGGTGAAAAAGAAGCCAAAGATAATCTTAAAAGAGTTTTTTCTTTTTTCGTTTTAGTTTCAACAAGCGGCGCCAGCGACTGGCAGGCATGCAAGGATTCACACTGAAATAACAGAACAACCTTCGTTTTTCATGAAATTGTAATTTACAATCCTTGAACTTGAAAACAATCCGAAGATTCATTGAAAATATCACTTACTGCTAAGCGCTCGGAGTTTACAGATGTTCAAAAGCTTTTTCTGTTATAGCGTGAGATTGAGGACAAAATTGATCATTACGTTTCGTCTCGTGTGTTTTTCCTGTGTGAAGCAACAGAAGATGCCGGCGACTGACGAAATAACAAGTTAACACGAAAATCAAATAACACTTAAACAAACAATTTTAGCTACCGATTTTCAGTGAATTTTTAAAGAACAATTTTCTTTTAAGTTTCAAGACAATTTGAAGATTCAACATACATACAACGTACTAAAATGCGAAAGTTACACACCACAAAATTGATAAATAGGCCTGAAATGAAATTCTATCTTGTTATTGATTATACGTTGCCTAGCACGTGACTTAAATCTACCCAGGCGGAGATCCAAAATGACGGTGGCAGGCTTGGCTTAGTTATATCACTCAAAACTCGTTCCCGTTTGTCTCATTTGATAAAGAGGGAATCGTTAATGTTTTCATTAAGTCAGTATTGCCTTGATTCTCTAATATTAACAACGAAAGACAGTAAATTTCACTTTTCACCTACATTTACTTCCAACCTTTTCTTTTGAACCAGAAACAAAAATGATAGACGTTTAAAACACATGACATCATCCACCTTGTCAAATGTAATAGCATGATCATTTCAATTATAATGCCTTCTTATCCCAACGTTACTTTGTTTCTTTGCTACATTAGCGAACACTGAACTACTGCTCGTACTCTAGATATGACAATCAACCACAAAATTCCCCAAACCAGATAACATTAAACATAATCTAAAAAATCATGTGTCAATTCACGAGTTTGCTCACAGAGCACTTTGATTCAGTTTCCAGGATTAGGAAAAAAATGATCCTATCGCAAGCATGTTCATCATAACCCGAGCATTAAGTACGCCTCGAGATGTTGACGGAAGAAAAAGTGGCCCCATGGTTTGTAAGACAAGCCATTTCCTGAAGTTCGAACTAATCGAGTAGAAAGCATGAAAACATAGCGCTAAAAAGAACCAGGACCAAACAATGAAATTCACTCCACCTCAGTAGGACTCCATTTTACCCGTGAATTTGTTTACACTACACATTTGCGGTCCGTAATTTAATTCTCAGATGATTGACGGGTTCTCACATGACAATACTGTTAAAATCAAATTACTGCGTCTGACTTAGCGTAAACACGAACATCGCTAACTCACTCTCATGTAATTATCATTTTGGTTGAGGCTTTTACTTCTTAGGGTAAAACAACACACCTTCGACAAAGCGCGATTTTTTTAAAGAATAAAGTATTCCCTGAGATAGTTAACTGAAGAGAGAATGATAGAAACTTGTTCACGCCATTCACTATCATCTAACTGAAGACCTACTAGGCAAACTGACATAATCAGTAAGATAACTTCTTTTCCCTTTACACCACGATCGTATTAAATATTCCGAACGATAGGACAAGAAACAACTCGAAGAATACGAACACTTTGAAATGTTATTCGAGCGACGAACCGGCGCGGTGGTTTTAAAGCGATGAATGCCAAAGTCATTTTTGGAGCTCTTTGTATTTCCTTCTCACGTTGCTCTTCGCTAGATATTCGCCTTTTTACTTATGCCTTTTCTTGTTCTACTTTGCGTTCCTCTCGTCGTACTCTGCCTATTTTAGCGTCCTTTCTAACTTTCGCGCGCGTTTTTCTCGACTCGCTTTACGCCTTTTACTTCTTACTTTCACTGGTCGCTTTGTCTCTCTCTTTCCAGCCTATTTTCACTCAAAACCCTCTCTCCACGAACTTGAATTATAACAATTTCCTCCGGTTGACAAAGCTTTGGCTCTGCCGGTATTGTTGATTAGAAATTGCAAAATACTGAGAATTACTGTTCAACTGCAACCTCACTACTTTGATTTCCCGCTCAAAACGCTTATTGCAAATTATTTGCTGACGCGGAGCCCACGTGAAGCCCTCGTGTAATGCCTAACCATGTGCCCGCGGTACGCTACGCAACGTCATTTTGATTTGTCGGTGTCTCCTGGCACACAGTAATAGGGTATCCAAGTTACGCACGCAATTGCACCTGCACATTAATTTCTCGCTCGCCCATCTATTACGTAATGGCTAAGATAGTGCAGTTGGCCGCGCATGCTAAAAGTAGTAACTTGTACGGTCGGTCGTACGGTCTCAAGTCCTAATTTTTTCAGGTTGATGGGTTACTACTATTACCTATAATTATGGGGTTACGCTGTGCGCGCTGCGAGCTCCCTCATTTCAATAAGCTCGTTCCTATAATATTATCTCACCTTCTTTTGGTTCTTAAACGGCTGTTTTCAACTTGCGGTGGCGTAGACCGAAGGCATGAAGAGACCGACTGAACATGATCGAGAACTTGTGTGTTCACCTCAAACTGTTACTCGTTACTTTTCTTCCTAAATTTTGGTGTTGATGAAGCCACGGTGGATCTAAGTCTTTTTAATGCTTATTCATGCTCTTCGGACAGTTCCCTCGTAAGGGATGGAAAGCTATCGCAAAGCTCTTCCTTTAGGCCTGATAAGGTATTGGCGAGATTAAATTTAAGATCGGACGGCATTTTAACGTAAAGCTTGAAACATTCGAGAGCTGAAATGGATACATTATAAATGTCAAACCTTATACGCCTTTCAACAAAAGACGCAATGAACCCCATAGCGGCTTACGTGCTTACAAACCGATAGGAAAATATTTACATTCTCTGTCACTGCCACTTGCAGTTTCATTCCACCGAATGTAAATACATATCTCTAAGTCGCTGGTGAGTTAGAATGTGATCAAAGGCAAACAACAGATCTCATTTGGTCCCTGGAGGTCTATGGTATCGAGAGAATAATAAAAGAGAGCGAGTTCTCTACCATCTGAAGGATGGTCCAAAGCGTGGTTTGGTTGGAGAAGAGCTCTTAATAGTTCTAAGATAACTGAGCTCCCACCAATCAATCCTTGTGGTGAAATGGGTGTTCAAAATGTGAACAATCAAAAGATCGTCAATCTTGCCAATCTAAATGACCATCAAGACCATCAAAAATAGAAACAATCGATTTATTCACTTTTTTGGTCAAAATATGCCAACGGAAATTTCTTTATTGAGATATTCATCAGGGAGAAAGCAACGTGCAGGTATCACATGGACCACGACTCAAACAGTGAAGTACTTCATTATAATAATTTAAGTGTTGCTTTTTATGATCAATCAGGATTGAACAACCATACAACACAAAAAATTAAATTTCACTCAGACCAAAAATATCAACTTCAAGAAACAAGGGAAGACAGTTTTTCTTTTTCGATCGAAATAGGCATTTTGATCTTCCTTTCAATAATCCTAAAATCCCCTAAAGTCTTTAGTGTTATCAAGATATGTAAAAGAAGTTTAAATGGAACAACAATATATACAAGAAAATATTTGATTGGAAACAGTAGCCGTTATGGTTTTTTTTCTTTCTCTTGAAAAAGATAGAGATGTTGTTTTAAGTGGAACAGTTCAAAAATTAAGAACATATGTACCATCCACTGTTGTTGGAGAAAACATTAAAAATTTCAATATACAGAGAAGAACAAATTTAAAATTTGTTCCTAGTGATATTAAACCTTCAGCAGGATTCAACACAAAGGCAAACCCAACAGAAGGAGGAAAGTAGAAAATTGTCAGCTCTCACTGGAATACAGATGATGAAAATGCTATAATAAGTTCTCCTTTTAGGTGTAATGGGAAAAAGCCTCTCGACTTTAGTGTAAGGGGAATTCCTCATAATATATGGGGGAACTTTTAAAACAACATGGAGAGGGTTCAATGGGTTTAATGAGGGTTTAAACTCAGACTGCCATACTTTTCTAATTTGCAAAGACACACTTTTGACAGAAGAACAAATCAAGGCACACCACCACGACTTCTTCATAAGAAGAAACAATAATGATGTTGATCCTGTCGAACGATTGAATTTATTGGGGATGATGGGATACTGAAGATTGACAAGTTAATATGTTTAAAAAGTATGACATGTTAGTTTAAATAAGGAGAAATATAAAAAGTGTCTCAGTAGTTGTAAAATGAGAGTTCTGGTAGAAGTTAAAGGGTCAGTATGAAAAAGTGGTCCGGGCTTGTCCCGGATCCCTTCCCATCCTTTTTTCGGTAATTACCTTATCCCAGAACTCTCATTTCACAACTACTCCTTTCATTACTGATTTGAAAAGGGTCTTCAGTTCAATGTGTAAGACTACAGTAACATCTCTTAAACCCTACGACTTCAAAAGTTTCACTACTTTACAAGTCAATTAAAATTGCCAATCGATTTTTCTTTGCTACTACAGCGATGTTGTTCCCACACTTCAGGTGGTGTGTAACACTGCCTCACTGTACGACAGAATCTGTAGACATTTTGCCTTATCCCCGTCAAAACAAACCACTAATTTTTTTCCGTCCTTAGACAACGCGATTTCTACCGGTGGAGCTGCTGTTCTAATAGTTCTTACCAATGTTCCCTCTTTGCTATAAACATGTACAGCGTAGCCTTCACAATCACAAACCAAAATTCGACCATTCTCAGAATCAACTGCAATACCCGCGAGATCTTCAAGCATGCCCTTTCCAATTTCTCGACGAAATTCTCCTTGAAGGCTGAAGACTTTGACACTCTTGCTGTCTGCGTCAGGCACAAATAATTCTCCGTTGAGGAGCACCGCCTTTTTTGGGGAAGACAACTTCCCTTCACCGAACACGGATTCTAATTTTCCATTAACATTATAAACCAGAACGCAGGAATTCGTTTCGGAGGTGAGCTCTTGGTATCTCGGACTTGACGTCACAAACAAACGCCCAGATGAATCGTGCGACAGAAAAGTGAACTTTACTTTTGGGATGGGAGTCGTTGGGAACTTGCGCTTCAGATTTCCACTTCGGTCGTAATGCAACAATGAATTAGTTTCTCTGTTTAAAACCACAATTTCATCGTTGTGCGAGTATGTAATGTCCCAAAAGTCGCCAAATATGAAAAGAAACTGAGTGAGGTGATTTCCCTCTCGATCAAAAATATGCACGCGTTTGTTTTCAGCATCCAATACTGCTATGTCTCCGCATTTCTTTGACACCGTCACCGCAAACGGAAAGAAGTTAGGGACCTTAATGCTGCCTCCATCGATATGTTTTAAGACTTTTTCGTCGCTAAAACTTTCGTTGAGGCCAGCTAGTGAATGTTTGTCGCTATCGACCTCTGCGCTTTTCACGCTCAGATCTCCAAATATAGATTCTGCGTTATCTAAAGAGAAGTCGCTCTTCGTAAAGGTAAGTTCGAATTTTCGAAAACATTTTCGCCTTGCTGAAAGAATTTGAATACCAGCAACTTTAGCGAGCTCTTCTAAATGCTGCACCTGTCTCAAACCACGTTTATCTCCGTCTTTCTTCTTCTCGACGCTTTCAACACAGCTGGAGGTCTTTGCTAGCAGATTATTTAGTTTTTCCTTTTGTTTGTCGAAGGTAGTTTCGGGGTAATTGTTATTCATGTACTGATCAACTTCAAGAAGTAATTGCTGTTCCTGATCACGAATTATGTCAATAACATGATTTGCTGCAGTTTGGATTTCCTTTTTCACATTTTCTGCTTGTTTCTTTATTGAGTTTCGGCGGACGTCCATTTCTTGTATTGCGTTCTTTAGTCCTTCAAGATTTTCCCTACTTCTTTTCAAAGCTTCCTTGATAAATTCATTATCATAGGCCTTTCTAGAGGGATTTTTTTCAATCAGTCGAGCCAGCAGATGGTTCTTCGGAAACGCTGAAACTCCAGCGGTTGGAATGAAGGACTCCACTCGGCAAACTGGGCATTCGATACTTGTCATGGTTGAATTTTTACATGTCATCTCCTCTAAACATTCCTGACAAACATTGTGAGCACAATTTGGCAAACATTTTGGCTCTAGAAATTCCTCTAAACAAACCGGACAGCTAACCTCATGCTCTACTGCCGCCACAACTTCATATAGTTTTATAGATTGCTTTGTAGCCATATTTTTGAAGTCTTGATGAAGCAGCACAGTCACCCGACAAAATGGTCTGTTTGCCTCTTGATATATTTTTACCGTTGTGCTGCGCCTGTCACGCATATTTCATATTTGCATAAAAATTGCGGTTTTCATGATGTGTTGAATTGGCACCTGAGTGCAGCTTGTTGTTATTGCAGTTGTGAGGTGGAGCCCTCGCAAGCCGCATGCAGTTCATCCAGCATAATTCGGTTTAACTGTTGAAAACAAGGTTGACGCTGTCAGTGGTCTTTGAAGAACGAGGAACAACACTAGTGTTTCCTGTAGTTCAATGTGATGTAATACTAGTGGTTACATCCCTTTAGTTTTGCCCAGCCTCACAATAGCGTGTGTTATTATGTATTCCATGCTACGTGTGTAATTATGTATTCCATGCTACGTGCGTTATTTGCGGGATTGGCGTGTTTGACAACGACAGCTTTGAGCGGTTGTTTACAGTTTAATTTCGTTTTCAATCATGATGATGAAAGAGTAAAACTTTCTTGTATGGTTACAAGGTGTTAAAATCTGATCTATAGCACGCGCGGAAGAAACAAAAGGCGTGACTTGATAACTCTCCAATTAAAGGGTATGTATTACAATTGAAATAATAAGCCGGAGATGGCCACTGGTTACAAGATATTGCTATACGTTAAATTAATCGCAACTTTTCCATGTTCGAAGATAACTGGTCCTGCAGAGTGAACAAGGATCCGCAACATAATCACCTTTACCGTTTAATATTAGTGAATATCTCTTTGAGATGTCACGACACGACACCTCGTACACTCTGGTGCTGCAATGAATAATACATAACATGCAAACGAAAGAATTATCTGACAAATAAAAATTTCCACCTATTTTACTTAAAACTTTAAAATTTATTTTTGATCCAGCCTTGCAGTTTCCAATTAAAATAACAAAAAAGTTTACCGCAGATCAGATCTTACGAAGAAGACTTTTCCTTGCTAACTCTGGTCTAGTTCACCTGCTTGTCGTATTTTATTTGCCATGTTTATAGTTTCATCCCGGGAACCCACGTAAATTGAAGGCCCTCCCTATGAATAACCCTTTAAGGTTACTCCAATCACGTGATCAAACTAGTTCACCAGATCGGAAAAAAACATTCGCGTCGCTTTATTGTGACGGTACAAATCATTTTCGTTGTCGCTTGAAATCATCATGTAAATCGTAAAATGAGGGAAGCTTTTTTTCATAATAATAATATCGGGTCAAAACAATCTAGCCCTTTCACTGATGTCGACTGCGCAATGCAAACCTTCGTAATTTTCTTCAAAGAAGTTCCAGCACGCATAATGTTATGACATCGAAGGACAGCCTAGGCATCAAGGTTAGAAACCTGTTTCTGACCTGTTTCATCGCGCTAAATTAGGGGTACAAATGAAGACACTAATACCAAGAAGAACTTCTTTTTTATTTAACAGTGCAACGATAGCTTGTATTGAAAATCTGACAAGGCACAGCGCTCTTAACAGAAAATGCCTCAACTTCAACAGTAATTAAAAACCTGGAATTTATTTCTTATGATATCTATAAAATTACAAAAATTACTTTATAATTTAATGCAATGAAAAAACGAATTCCACATTAATTTCACTCTTGAGACTGGTAGGGTCGCAAAATCGCCGCAAACTCACAACATTACCTGACATGATCCAAAAAATTTACCATTACTAAATATCCCGAGAAACAAGTACATGAGTCTTGCTGGATAGATGAGTTGACGCTTCCTTATTAAAAAAAACGACATTTCTCATTTCCATTATCAACCAAGTTGTGTGGCAAACGGTATTGATCGTGTGTATACTGCCAAACATTAAAAAAAAAAAAAAGGATTCAAGCTAACACTGACTTAATAAAATATATATATAAAAAAATATATGTATATATATAAATTTGGTCTCAAACGGATCCCACTCAGCTAAGAGATGGCGAATTAGCGTACAGTTCAGTCTAATGTCCCCTGAGGAGTAATATTTTAACAACAAATTCTGCTCACAAAATCAGAACAGTCAATAATATTTCATGGGTGCGATGACTGCCATGTGCAGGGGAACTAGCTTATGATGTGAAATATTTTGTTTTGTGAGATCAAGCTGAATTTTTATGACTGCGTTCTTAAATATCGAGAAAATTTTTACTCATAACCTTGGAAACACTTAATTAATTATATCGAATAGTCAAAACACAGAGCAGGTTGGCAGATTCATTTGTATCGTGTCACTGCCTTCCACCAGCGTAAGTTGGATTCTCGAATGTGGTCTTGGCAGCTTGATACAGGGGATTTTTTTCCTGAAAATCAACGATGGGTATCACGTCACACAAAGACTAGATAACAATGGAGGATAAACATTGAGAAACCTAAAGCAAATTAATTGATAGTGAATACGAAATTCTCATATTTTGTTTCAATCGATCAACAAGGAGGGAGAAAAGAAAGAAAGCTTAAAATACTCTTGAGCTTAACATTCATGAGAGAAACACCTCATCTGTCCTGAACTCCCTTTTCATCAACACAGACGTCGTGTTGACGAATGAAAAACAGAGGCATGACAATAATGGGATTAAAAAAAGCTTGTGAAAAAAAAAAAGAAGAAAGGATATCGTAGCTTAAAGTTTGGCAATCACTGCTTAAAGAGGCTGTTGAAAGGAAACAAATTGAACTTACCTTGGTCCATCTCGAGTGCATTCGTTCTCGTTCAAACTTTTGATATTCAATGCGGTCCTGAAATAGAAAGCAATACGAATTCAGTAACACGGACAGCCTAGAGTTAGCACCGTAAGGACAATGGTTGTTTCAATAAGGAATCCTTTTTTTTCATTTCACACGATTTTAAAACCACTTCTCCTACAATAGACACTGATTATAGCTCGATCGTTGTTTGAATTTCATTGGCTCAGACTAAGACAATGGTTTCCCTCGCTGACGTAACACAAAACGTGCTAAGATTACATTTAAAGTTGCTTATGAACCCGTAAACGTGAATGGCACAAACCGATTAACTAAGATGATTTGATCTCAGAGCCCTACTTGTTTCTTAATGACAGATCTGGTAACCAACTGACCTTGACTTTTCAAGTTACGCTGGGTTAATCAGAGGCATTTGACGAACAGCTCCAGTTATACACATTTGCACTCATTTCAAACCGAAATAAAAGGCGCAGCGGAAGAAAATTCAAGTTGATTAACCATCAAACTTAAGCTAACATACCACCATAGTAACGAAGGCCTTGACAACAATTAATATGATAAGACCCAGCAGTAATATTCCACCAATCACACCCAACACAATGGGTAAGATGGGTGCTTCTTCAGGACAACTCACTGAAACAACAAAAAAAACGAAAGCAGCGTAAGAAAACCAAGTCGGACAGCTACACAAAAAGTGTTTTCACTATCCAGTTGTAAGTTCAAAGAATTGTATCAAGGGCTAATAACATTATCCTACGGATAAATCGCTATCTAGCGAATAAGTGGAAAGCAAAGCGAACTACGCTATCCAACAGATAGTGATTTATCCAGAGGATAGCATTCCCCAATCTTCGAACAACCGGAGCCTGGAGTTTAACAATTGTAAAATAAGGGGCATTTTCAACCTGCTGGGGTCTCCTGAAATAGCAAATTGAACTATTTTTTTCAAGATTAACTTAAGTAAAACCACACATCAGACAAGACACTGAAGCATTACCTTTCTCTTTTTGAACAAAAAGTACAAAGCGTTCGCTGTTTTCCTCTGTTTGCGTGGTAAAGTAATATGTGCATCCGTCAACTTCACCCTCACAGCGATACAATCCTTCATCTGTGCATGAAAAAAGGGCAACAAATCAAATCAATTCTGCATAATAATAATCCCACCCGCATTTGATGCCAGCTGCGTTGCCGACTGAACGCTTTGTGAATTCTAACTACAGAACCTGTACCACACGTTCACGGATCAATTGTCTCAACCCACAAGTTGCACAGGCTAAACATATTTCATGTCTTTGAAGCTGGTCACATTTGATTGGCCTCGGTTTGGCTTAGTATTTCTTTAAGCTCAATATTCTATTAGGCTGTTTCCCACGATGAAAACTATGCACGTTCTCTGATTCTTTCGTTATGATGGGCGCCTATTAATCCTCACCTGTTTTTTTTTCAATATTATCCACCACCTGAACTTCCAGAACATTAGCTTCACACCTATTTATTTTTTTACACTGCTCCAAGGACTGGCCTTCGAATGTTGCACACAGAGCACAGTCTTCATTGCGACTACACATGCCGTCTTCACAGTTCTAAAAGAAATATTATTTTCACACGAACAATGTTTAGTAAAGTGTGCATGACAAGGATTTTAAACACCACAACTTGATCGCTGTGTTACTAATCACATTCTTGTATTTGGGGTGTCCTCGATGCTTTTGGAGAGGCACCTCTTGCATAACGAATGCCTTACCTATCACTGGGAAAAAAAATCCTCTTCATACCAAGAAAGACAACGTACAGCGTGCAGAAAGTACTTCAACTTTTAGTCGAGTAAAACTGAGATTATCGGAGAAATGACCGTCTGAAATCGTTGGTTCCAACATTTGTTTGACAGGGGTATGGACTTTTCCCCAAACATAAAAATGCCTGGAACTCTTTTAGTTAACAAATTGTCTCCTTTAAAAGGTAACTAGAATTTCACAGTGACTGACCCAGTTCACTTGTTATCCACCATTAGCAGGGAAACAATCTAAGACAACGAGATCGTGGTGCATTTCGACATTGAGTCACTATTCACTAACGTTCCGCTCGACACAGCTGTACATGCAGCACTACAGAAACTAAAAAACGATCTAAACCTAACCAACCGCACGGCAATAACAAAGCGCAGATAAGGAACTTTAAACTGCATACTTCCAGTATAACAGATCAATTTATTAACACACAGAAGGCATAACCAAGAGGAGTCCGTTTCCCGTTTTTATTGTTAACCTCTACATGGTGAGTTTTGAAGGGCGAGCATCATTTTATAAG